TTTTTTTTTTTTTTGTATTTGATCACTGAATAAAAAAATCATAGCAACTGTTTATTTAATGCAGCTTCGACTGAGAGTAACCGCCAACTACGTTGACAAAAGTTATTTCTTTATAATTATCTATAAAATAAGTGTTGAGTCAAAGCTGCTTGCAATAACTATTGAAAAAATGCAAAAGCACATAAAACATTAATCAAATAATTGACGGTACTTATAAAGACAAAAAAATTACCAAAACAACAGAAAAAAAGCTTATTTGATTGACATTTTTTTACAGCTATAATCTTGATTAATAAGCTGCATTTTTAACAGAAATTGCATAAAAGTTATTGGTTTTAACGTGAAGAACAAGCATTATATTTTTGACACAAAACTGCTTTGCAAAAAGTCTTTTCCCTAAAAAAATTGGAATTTATTTCAGCTTTGGTCATCACTGTATCCTGAATAAAAAACGACCATAAGTCTTCCATAGCATTTGAATGGCAATAATTTGAATCAGAAGTTTTATTTATTTTATGCTATAAGAAACGGCAAACAGACATGAATGAAACCGATATGTGAACCAACATTCCTCCTTCTTCAACTTTTTTACTCTGCTATTTATTTGTCTTTTTGATTGTAAAATCTTGCAGCTTCGACAAACCTTTCAAATTTATTTTTACCTTTACAATTGCTCCAAAAAAAAAAATCGTGTAAAAAGACAGATTTCAATAGTAAAATCAGCAAACCAGATAATATTCAATAAATGAACAATTCTTTAAATTCTGTTATGTGAGTCGTTTGATTCAGTGTTCTTCGACCAATGCTTTGATCAGACAATTTGGCTTTTAATATGTACATTAGGTACAAATTAAAGTTATGCCAAATAAAATGCTCAAGCAAACAAAGATAAGTAACAATTGTCGTTTGATGAATATACTATATACAACAGAAATGAACAAAATCACTTTTGTTCTTAGTTTTATTTTTATTTTTCTGAATTCTAGACCTACATCATAAATGATATTTTTTTTTAAAACAGTTCATTACTGGCATTTTGAAATTAATATAAAAACATGCTTAAACCAATGATACCGTAAAGGTCAGATTTGAAAAAAAGTGCTCTGCTACAAAACGGATGTAGAGAAAAAAGAAGATAAACCAACCGATTATAACACCATTACTACAATACCTTTAAAATTGTATACTGAGAGTTCTGACCATTAATGCGGAGATGTTGTTGACTTGTCGTAATTATTATAAACCATTGCTCTTTCTGATAAACGGTTAGATGGATAGAAAAGTAAATAGATAGATGAATAGACACATAGATGAATAGGTACATAGACAGATAGATAAACAATCAGACAGACAAATAGACTGACAAAAACGAAAAGAAAGACAAAAAGAAGAAAGAAGAAAAATGAGAAGAAGAAGAAGAAGAAGAAGAAGAAGAAATTGAATTTAATAAAGTTTAAAATTAAAGATAATGAGAAAGTTTGAATGAAATACAAAAGAGTCACATTTTGTTAATGGTTTATCAGTTATACATAGTTTTGACTACAGAGATCCAACTTGAGATCATCAATCTTTTTCTTTTGTAACTTCATAATAAAGTCGTTATTTTGATATTCTAAAAAGAAAAGAGTAAGTATATATCGACAAAAATAAAGAAAATTTTATTCTTTAATAGATGCATGTATATATTCTGTAGTAAAAAATAAAACAATTTCAAAGCACTCTTTTTTCTATTTTTTTTAAGAGACTGTTTAAAACACAAATCATCAAGCAAAATAACCTTAGCTGGTTCCAGAAAACAGGATTTTTAGTATTTGTCCGGCACATCGGATTGCATAACCGTCTTGGACACGATAGCCAAAGCATAAATACCCGGGTGGACGTCGAAGCTGAAAATCAACATCCTCTGGTAGACGCTGAAGCTGCATATCGGCATCATCTGGTGTCTGTGTTGCTTGTGGACGTGAAATAGCAACATGAAGTAGCATGTTGACAGTAAGCATCAGAAGCAGTAGTTTAGCGAACATTATTACTGTGCAGCACCAAAGTAATAGACTCTTTCTTCTGCTTTCTTCTTTATTTGAATTTTTTTTTGTTTCACTTGTTAGTGTTGTTCCTCCTGTCTCTTCTCAGAATTTAACGATAACCAATCGCCTATCAAATATGATCAGTAGTTTCAATTTGTTTCTGTGCACCGACCTTAAATACCAGTTTTAAATAGCACTAAAAAAACAACATAGGCACTGAATAAGACACATCAGTTTAGTCATCAGTAACTGATGTGTTAGCAGTCAATACATACCATCTAATTTACTTAAATAATAACCTTTTCATAGAGAAAAAAAGGCAACAAATGAATAAGCACTCAATAGTTGAAAAAAAGAAAACTTTGCAGAGAAAAAGAAAAAGAATTTGCTAGTATCTGCAAGAATTATTAAACTTAATTTTCATTTCAAATCTTAGATAAAAGAGTTCTCTTTTTTATAGTAGTGCCTCTAACGCTGCAAATAGAAGTCAATGGAGCTTTCAGCAAAGTCAATTTGATAACTTCAATGATTAATGAAGAAGAAAAACGGTGAAAAAAAAAGAGTAAAATCACTGATAAGATGATAAATTAGATTAGAGGCTCTTTTTCTGTCTGGATAACAAATGTAAAATCATAGACATAAAACCTGCAAAATTCTTTTCGTTTTAAGCATAATTTTTACGCGTGTAAATCACGAAAAAAATTGGCAAAGTTGTGTCAGAAAAAAAAAAAAGATAAAAAACTATAACAAAAAAAGAAAAATAAATGATCAAAATTTTAACTTAGTAGAAAAGAGTCTAAGAAAAAAAAAACAGTGGTAACCGAGTCTGAATGTCTACGAGTTTTGGCTTCAAAATTTTCTTCCACCTAGTAATGTTGTTTTTGAGCATAAACTTTCAAATGTTTTCTTTCAGTTACCAATTCTATTATCAAATTGCCATCTTTTTTTTTTTTTTTAAACTTATCCATTGCCTAGAAAACATCGATTTTCAACAGATACACACAAAACAGTTAAGAAATTTGACAAAAAAGAAAAAATCGACATTACTTAAGACTATCGGTATATACTCATAAGTAAAAACGTAGAGAAGTGTGAATAAAGCTGTCACCCAAACTTTGTCAAAAGCATCAAACTAATATAAATTGCAATTTTTTTCCAACTGCTTTCTGTATTATTCAGAAATTAATTTATCAGTTACTGTAAAAAAAATTTGTTTTACTCTTCTTTTCTTTGCTGATAACGAAAACATATTTACAAAAAGTCTTTTGTAACTTAAATATGCAACAATATCAAAAAAATAAAAGCCTTTCTTTAATAAAGTCACCAATGACATAGAAATTTCAAAAAAAAAGAAATAAGACTTTTGACCGACACTTCTTATAGCAAAAAAAAAAAAAAAGATTCAGTTACGAAAATTTTATAAGTGCTTTTTTCTCTCTTTCTGATAGCTGATATACAGTGACCAAAAACTGGTTTTTAAATTTTCGACCAATTTTTAATTGAACAAAAAACAAAAGACAGAAAATTGTTACTTTTTTTTCCAAAACCTATAAATCAAAAATTTAGCATATAGTAAAGAAGTGTAATTAGCAGAAAAACACTGTTTTTTTTTATACTTATTTTCTTCTGCCGTTGTCGTCATTTTCAACTCAGGAAAAAACAGTTCACAAAACAGTAACAGTAATGACAGTGGTAGTATCAGTAAATAATGGTAATGAAAACAAATCTTTTTTTTGTTATTTATATAAGAAAAAGAAGAGAAAAGAAAAACTAGAAGAATTGTGAAGAGAAAAAGAGAAAATAAGATTTACCAATAAATTGTCATCAGTTTACTGAAAATGACAAAAAAAAAAACAAAACAAAACCACAGAATGAAAAGTGATCCTATTGACAAAATACCTAAGTAATGTTTCCAGAAACTACTGTAAGCATAAAGTTATGTAGACAAACATATAAACTGTAAAAACTCTGCAGTCAACAAATTTATGATACAACTTAAGCGTCATCCTGTTTTCAGTCAGGTTACGCTTAAACAGGCCATCTAAAGTCCTAGCCATATACGGTTCACCGACTACAGCAGCACACAAACGTTTTGAAAACATGACGACAGTATTATTGACCGTTGAAAAGATTAACAGTCTTAGTGCTGTTAAGCACTCTTTAAAAAAAAAAAAAATCAACAACGCCAGCAAAATAAACAGCTGAATAAAAAATTTAAAAAAATAAAAAATATCTAACAAAAAATGATAAATTAGCGATAATAATTTAAGAGAAGAAACAGTTGTTAATGATGAGATTAAATTATTAAATTTAATTCCAACAGCTCCAAACACTGTACTGTTCAACAACATTATTGTTTTACCAGGTGTTGAAAGCACAAATGGTAAATGTAGAAACTGTTGTTAAAAGGTGGAAAGTTTCTGATATTGACGATCTGAACAACCCACTTCGACCCAGGTATATTTATATGAAAACAAAAGCGTGACTGATGTACCAACAAAACATCACCGGCCATATCTGTACTTTGTGCCAGTAACGTCGTTTTCATGACCAAACT